GCTGCTGACAAGGACAGAGCCAGCCAATATCATCCAGTGACAGGACTTGTCTTTATGGTGCTTATTTGTAGGCTGAGAACAGTAGTAAGTGGAGCAGGGGAAATAATATGTGAATAATGCAAATAATAAGATCTCCAGACAGGTTCCACGGTACATCTTACTTTTAGTTCCTCTTTCACTGCATAACTTTAGCATTTAGATTGTCTTTATTGTTTATTATTAATTCAACAGTAGCACACAGAGGCCCTAATTGAATTTGGAGCTGTGTTGTACCAGGCACCATAGAAATACGTATTAGGATGCAGTCCCTGAGGAACACGCAGTCAGCTTGAGAACATGTCCCTGCAAGAAAGAAGTTATTTGATGTCTTTTTATATCTTAAGATATGCAAAGATGCAAAAGTAATGGGTGCCAATGTTAGCAGTGAAATCTATTTGATCTTATTAATTTTTAAATAATCCATCTTTTCATTTCATTTCCTCACATTGTCTAAGTACTGCGTGCTGCATCTTTTGCAAAGGATGAGCAAGACTAGTCAAGCGTCTTTTGAGTTACAGGTCATTACAGTTCTCTATGACTACAGAGCTATTTAATAAGAACAATTAAACATTACGACAGGATTTTCTGTTGAGGCATGTGTTCATTCACAACTTTGAACAATTAAATTATTTTTGTGGGAAAAAAAATCTAGCCTGTTCAAGAAGGATGATTGCAGTGGTTCGCGCTTTCTCATGTTATATACATCTGAAGAATGACACTGGGATATCATTGTTTTGGATAATGTAACATAAGAATCATAGCTAAAGATTTATTTAAGAAGTTGCATGTATTTTATTATGTACCTCTCTTTACTTTTGATTTTTTTACTTACATAGACACACAGGTAGTGTTATATTTTAAGTGTATACACTTGAATTTTCAGCAAACTCTGCAAGGTATTTTATGTGCAATTTTTTCCAGGGTTCTGTCTCAGAAATTTCATTTCAAGACTTATTTGCTTTGATGAGCGTTCTCTTACCTAAGGCATTCAGGACTTCCTTTGTATTTCCTGGCTGGCTAGTATATTTTGTAGGCGCAATGGTGGAAGAAAATCAAACAGATCCTAAACCACTTCACAAAATTCAGCCAATTTGAAGCGGGCAAGACAAACTTGGTTACATCATGACATCACGGACGGCACTGTATAAAGCTGCCATCACACTTCAGTGTCATGGTAACAGAGCTTACAGCAACAGAGCCTGCCTTGATTTTTTCCACTCTCATGGAAGTTGGTGGGCAACTTAATAGCTAGCTACACCCATGAAGCAGGCACTGATATGGGCCCTTCCTTCTCCTAGGATTGTATTTACTGTTTGAATAAAAACAAAATTCATCATCAGTTACACCAGGCTTCTGCCACAACCAACACGTATGGGATCCCAGGCTGGTCTTTCACCAGAGAGGGAGGAGAGAAAAGCATGAGGCAGAGAGAGAACAGGGAGAAAGGGACGAGATCTTCACCCGTGATATTTTTTTTTTTTTTAAATAAAAAAGGGACGATGCTAAAATGCTCTTGAGTGAGCCTTAAACAGAACTTTTCCCTTCAGGCTTAGGCTATACTAGTGCCTCAGGTTGTTTCCTGCACCTCACCTTGCCACCTGAAATGAAAGCGGGAGAAAGGAGGACCATTCCAACAGTGTTCTCTTTCCAAAACACTTATGCATGGATGAGCATGAAGCCCATTTCAATAGGTGGGAGGCAAGTAACCCTCTGCAAAGCCACGTTGCCTACTGAAGACCAAGCTTTGGAGGCTGCATCTGTGAGACAGGTAGATAAATAGACAAGTTGATAGACAGACAGACACAGATATTTATGTCGATTGGCAGCAACAATAAGTGAAGAAGTTGAGGTGGGTATCACGTTTCTACTGCATGGCTTTAACAATGCTGATGGAAATGAGAGCTGCTTCTCTTGCTTCCCTTCTTCCTTCTCTTGCCAGATGCTGCTTACTCAGCTTATCCAACTTCTTGTGACCTTCAAACGCCTTCCCATTCGTTCTGTGTATGGCACTTTTTCTTTCATTTGCCGCTTTCCCTGCACGTAGCAAGGTTAGCACCCAGCTGTGCTGATGGTGTTTGCAGTATGAGCACTCTCCTTATCAGGATGGTCTGAGATACCACCCCTTCCCCTTCTGTTCCCTGGAGGTTTTCTCAACAAGCCAGTCAGCCTGGTGCTGCCGGGAGGATCCCTTAGAAAACCGCATTGCCCTCTCCTCCCTTCCTCCCAGCTTGTTTTCTTCCTGCCTGTCCTCTCCTTTTACATCACTTCTCCCATCCATATCTTCACTGTTTTCCATGCCTTCCTCTTCAGAACATCCCTTCCTCCTAATTCTGCTCTTCTTGATCTCTTTCCTCCCTCCCTCCACCCTGTAGTCTTTCAACTTCAGTTTCTTCTTATACTCCAGTGCTTCTCTGTGTCTGCCTAGTCTATCAGGTCCCACTCCCTGCTTTTCACTCTCCATCACAAGTTAGGATAAAGCCTCCAAACTAGTATCCAAAAACGTTCTCTAGCCTATGATTTGGGCTGAAATCCTTTTGCATTTAAACAAGCCCCACCTCACTACTGGTACCTGTCTCATAGCATGACATGTCTCATGCATTTTGGCTCCTCCAGCCAAACTAGGGTTCATGTCTTGGCATCAGGACGCTTCTGAATACAATGCTACGAACACGTAAGGAGTTTGCACATCCAGGTCCTCTATCTTATTCGCTGTGGATGACAAGGAAGAGGATGGAGAGATAGAGCACAATGAAGATGAGGCAGGCCGTCTTAACGTGTCGCACTGCGGCGTATCGGCCCTGGGCAGACACGGGTCCTTGCATCCTAGGGAGCCTCACGTGCAGGGGGACGTCCGTGCCCTTCAAGCCATACCTGCTCGAGCCCTTGCTTGCCCTCCCACTCACCGCCACCACCCGCTCCGGCAGGCTGGTGGGACAGAAGAAGCCTTGCAAGGCAGGGGCAGACCGGTCTTTGAAGCGGTGGCCCAGAGGACGCATGGCTGGAGGGAGGGCAGAAGCGATGGCCTCCGAGGGTGCTGGCCTGGGGCGGCATGGGGAGACCTGGGCAACTCTGCACCCCATGGCCTGCAGGGAACATGCCCGTGCCCCCGCCAGGAGCCCCCAGGAGAGGAGAGCCCCCGCCAGGCGCGCAGCTCCCGGCAGTGCCTTCGCGCCCCCCATGCAAACCTGCCAGAGAAAGGCAGCATGACGGGGGTGAGCCCACTCCTCCGGGGCCCGTGGCGAAGCCCCAGCTTCTTCCACCACCTTCG